TTCAACTGAGATGTATAATTTTTTTTACCCCTCATTTTACACGCTAATGGACATGGTCTGATCCTTAATATGATGAGGGGGCACGGGTGGCCCAGTCGTCTAAGGCGCTTCGATTCGCTGTGCAGAGTTGCGTCCCTTGGGCACGCCAGAAACGTATGATTGTGGGTTCGAATCCCGGTTCGCCCCGATTATGTTTCTAGGTTTGTCAGCACCATACCCGTGCTCGTGGGTTTCACCGAAGTGGTAAACATCTGAGACCTGCATCACTTCGGGCTTTCCGCCCACATTAAGCTGACACGCCGTGATATGACTGGAATACTGTTAAAAGCGGCGTTAAACCCAACTCACTCACTCAGATGATGATGATGATGTTAGGTTCCTGACTGCTGGGCCTTTTCTTTAGACTGACACGTTAATGTGTGAACCCCTCTTGGCATCCATCATCAACTGTGTCTGTTCGTAACTAAGTGAATTATACTGAATGATAAAAGCGCTGTCTTTTATATGGCGCTTTCTTTTTAATACAAAAACACATCCTGATCGTGACTTGGGTACAGTGTGCAGACCGCTCCCCTCCCCTTCCCAGTTTTCCATCTCCCGTTCCATCTCCTGCTCTGATTTCCCATCGTGAAGTAGGATGTCTGTCTTTATTTCGTACATAAAGAAATAAACATCCTTGTTGCTTCGTAAATAGGTGAGAAACGTGATTGGCCATTTCTTCAATTTCCGCTTGCACCATTCACATGTGTGTATCCAGTCTTCGGGAATGGCGAGTGAGTGAGTGAGTGAGTTGGGTTTAACTCCGCTTTTAACAGTATTCCAGTTATATCACGGCGTGTCAGCTTAATGTGGGCGGAAAGACCGAAGTGATGCAGGTCTCAGATGTTTACCACTTCGGTGAAACCCACGAGCACGGGTATGGTGCTGACAAACCTAGAAACATAATCGGGGCGAACCGGGATTCGAACCAACAATGATAGATCTATTGCGTGCCCAAGGGACGCAACTCTGCACAGCGAATTGCGGCGTCTTATCCCAACTGCATTGATCGATGCTCATGATGTCAATCACTGGATTGTCTGGTCCAGGTTCCATTATTTACAGACCGCTGCCATTAAGCTGGAATATTGCTGAGTGCGGTGTTGAACAACAAACAAACATGTTCACTGTGACGTTGCCGCGGTGATACCTCAAATACCCCATTACGTCTGTCAAGGTCAGCGCCTAGAGAATGTTATGCGAGTCAACGCTGTGTTCTCTGTCTTTGATGTTTTGAGTTTACTGGGCACAGAGGGGAGCTTTTGATTGGGTAGATGTTTTAAGAGCCACCAAATGAATCCCTCATTAGTTTATTTGCAAACTGGTAAATATGTATAACAGACCCAGTTGAAAAAGTAGCTCCATTTCGAAAATTAGAGGCGAGATGAGGTGAAATTATGTTTGACGTCGTTTTTAAGATTATAGCACTTATTGAGCGTGTTGAAATGAGGAGGTGTTAATTGGTCTTGTAGCTGGTATATATACCACTAGTACACCTCTCGTGGCTAGTATATAGACATTAAACAATGATTGAGTGAGAGAGTTGGGTTTAACACCGTTTTTCACAGTATTCCAGTTGTACAACAGCGTGTCAACTTAGAGCCCGAAGTGATGCAGTTCTCGGACGTTTATCACTGTGGTCAAACCCACGAGTCGTTTATTTCTTAGATGAGACATCAACATTATCTACAGCCTCTTTCAGGAGTTAATAATACTTACACAATTTACAAATATTTAATAATTTAAATAATGATGACTCCCTGAATACAATCCGATCTAGGCAGTTTCGGATAAGTCTATCTGATGAACAGGGGGATAAGTTTGTTATTTCCTTAATATTCTCACAACCACAAACAGCTGACGGCCATTATCTGTACCTTTTCTCCTATTACGGAGTGCAATATCTCGGCTACTTTTAGGTGCGATGTTTCGGCCACTGCGTTTATTTGCATTGACCGGCTACACCTAAGAGGAACAACTCACTGTGCTCTCGAACTCTCGAAATAGCGTCGTCCAATTTACGACGTCATTAAGTTGCGAACGTATGTTCGAATCTCCAGAAATAACGTCATGATAGAAGAACGTTTTATCGTGAAATATAATACATGTATTATGAGTTGTGTGTTCATCCATACGGTACTTTGTATGTATATATATGATGATGGTGATGATGATGACTATGATGTTGATGATGATGATGATTGTAGTTAATGTGGTGGTGAGGTGAGGTGAAATGGGGTTTAACGTCGCGTCCAAGATCATTGCACTTATATTGACGACGTGTATGGACACAGTGTATGTGTCTGCTTGTACTTGCGTGAACTAATGCCAGGTATATAGTGGAAAACACTTTATACTGACTCCAGGCAGACCAGTCCTTGCTTTAGCTCCTTATTGCCGAGCGCCAGGCATAGTGACAACAAGTACCATCTTTAACGTCAGTCGAACCCACGACCCTCCGTTCTCCGGACAGACGGTCTATCCACTAGACCACGGAGGCGGTTGAGAATACGGAAGACATTAATACATCTGTCTGGACAATTCTATTCAGATTGTTCATGCTATCTGTAATTCCTAACTTTAATTGGTTCACACAGAGGCTTCAAGCAGCAAAATATGTGTTGAAAGTCTACCACTAGGCCACGGAGGTGGTCTGTAGTTAATGTAAATGCTGTGGTATGTGTATATATCCGTACCGCTCTTTTGCTAGTATATATGCAGTGAGTTATATGTATAAACTTAGCACATATGCAGTGAGTCGTGTATATAAACTTTGCACATATACAGTGAGTCGTGTATATAACCTTAGCACATATGCAGTGAGTCGTGTATATAAACTTAGCACATATGCAGTGAGTCGAGTGTATAAACTTAGCACATATGCAGTGAGTCGAGTGTATAAACTTAGCATATTTACAGTGAGTCGTGTGTATAAACTTAGCACAGATACAGTAAGTCGTGTGTATAAACTTAGCACATATGCAGTGAGTCGTGTGTATAAACTTAGCACATATGCAGTGAGTCGTGTATATAAACTTAGCACATATGCAGTGAGTCGAGTGTATAAACTTAGCACATATGCAGTGAGTCGAGTGTATAAACTTAGCACATATACAGTGAGTCGTGTGTATAAACTTAGCACATATAAAGTGAGTCGTGTGTATAAACTTAGCACATATACAGTGAGTCGTGTATATAAACTTAGCACATATACAGTGAGTCGTGTATATAAACTTAGCATATTTACAATGAGTCGTGTGTATAAACTTAGCACATATGCAGTGAGTCGTGTATATAAACTTAGCATATTTACAATGAGTCGTGTGTATAAACTTAGCACATATGCAGGGAGTCGTGTATATAAACTTAGCACATATGCTGGGAGTTTTGAGTCGTGTATATAAACTTAGCACATATACAGTGAGTTGTGTGTATAAACTTAGCACATATGCAGGGAGTTTTGAGTCGTGTATATAAACTTAGCACATATACAGTGAGTCGTGTGTATAAACTTAGCACATATGCTGGGAGTTTTGAGTCGTGTATATAAACTTAGCACATATACAGTGAGTCGTGTACATAAACTTAGCACATATACAGTGAGTCGTGTGTATAAACTTAGCACATATAAAGTGAGTCGTGTGTATAAACTTAGCACATATAAAGTGAGTCGTGTGTATAAACTTAGCACATATACAGTGAGTCGTGTATATAAACTTAGCACATATACAGTGAGTCGTGTATATAAACTTAGCACATATACAGTGAGTTGTGTGTATAAACTTAGCACATATGCTGGGAGTTTTGAGTCGTGTATATAAACTTAGCACATATACAGTGAGTTGTGTGTATAAACTTGGCACATATACAGTGAGTCGTGTGTATAAACTTAGCACATATACAGTGAGTCGTGTATATAAACTTAGCACATATACAGTGAGTCGTGTATATAAACTTTGCATATTTACAATGAGTCGTGTGTATAAACTTAGCACATATGCAGTGAGTCGTGTATATAAACTTAGCATATTTACAATGAGTCGTGTGTATAAACTTAGCACATATGCAGGGAGTCGTGTATATAAACTTAGCACATATGCTGGGAGTTTTGAGTCGTGTATATAAACTTAGCACATATGCAGTGAGTCGTGTATATAAACTTAGCACATATACAGTGAGTCGTGTATATAAACTTAGCACATATACAGGGAGTCGTGTGTATAAACTTAGCACATATACAGTGAGTCGTGTACATAAACTTAGCACATATACAGTGAGTCGTGTATATAAACTTAGCATATTTACAATGAGTCGTGTGTATAAACTTAGCACATATGCAGTGAGTCGTGTATATAAACTTAGCACATATACAGTGAGTCGTGTATATAAACTTAGCACATATACAGGGAGTCGTGTGTATAAACTTAGCACATATACAGTGAGTCGTGTACATAAACTTAGCACATATACAGTGAGTCGTGTATATAAACTTTGCATATTTACAATGAGTCGTGTGTATAAACTTAGCACATATGCAGTGAGTCGTGTATATAAACTTAGCATATTTACAATGAGTCGTGTGTATAAACTTAGCACATATGCAGGGAGTCGTGTATATAAACTTAGCACATATGCTGGGAGTTTTGAGTCGTGTATATAAACTTAGCACATATACAGTGAGTCGTGTGTATAAACTTAGCACATATGCAGGGAGTTTTGTGTACACCTCACAGCTCCGAGTCCTGGCGTCGCGACCATCTCCCACTCAACGCTCCAGCAGCTCAGAGCAACTAACTCAACTCTCCCTTCCCTCTGGGTCTGCGCTCCCGGGGAGGCAACCAAGACAGGAACGCTACAAGCGCTCCCAGTAAGCATGCCATGTGGAGGGACAAGCCCAGGGAGGTTACAAAGGGGTTTAAAGGAAATCTCTCAACCAAGATATGTGAAGATAAATGCAGGAGAGCCGGATCTCTTATCAGTTGGAGATTATAAATTTAGGTAAGCGAGGCTGCTGGACTCACTTGGATTCTGATAGTGCGAGGGTCGGTGCCGCGTCCTCTTTGACGGACTGGAATATTGAAACCTTTTGCTTACAGGAGAGAAAGGTAAGCACTCGGTGCCAGTACTATATGCAGAGTGACATGTTTGGTATCTATTGATGTGCTAGGATGTTATATATATCACCGGTTTATCACTGTTGACGTCACTACACAGACTCATAGAGTGCCCCTGCTCAAAGTTTTAGTACAAGAAATAGGATTTAATTCCCGGAAATTCTGTAGTAAAACTGTTTCGAAACCTGTAAATACTTTATCACTGTAATAATCGTATCCGTGTCTTCGGGATAAGAGAAACACATGGGTTTCCTGTCTGTTGCGTAATCTCTTTACTGTCGCGCATCTGCCACATCACACTATTTGATCACTGTACCTTTCGCGAAACTGTTAGCTCACCTTACCAACATACACCGTCAGTGAACAGTGACATACATGTCAAAAATAACAATGAACCTATTTCTGTTTAGAATAGATTATTGTGTTTGACAACAATAGGAAATCGCATGGTGCTTGATCCGACATACTTAATACGAGGTGTTTGATAGCACAGTGGATTTTTACGCTTGTCCGGCAGGACAGTTGGGTTGGTGAGGTGAGGTGAGGTGAGGTGAGGTGAGGTGAGGTGAGGTGAGGTGAAATTGAGTTTAACGTCGCGTCCAAGATTATTGCACTTATATAGCGACGTGCATGCACGTGTATGTGTGTGTGTGGCTGCTTGTTCTAGTCCGGACTGATGCCGATTTATAGTGCTAGCTCACTGAGATACCATGCCGCAGTTTAACATGAATACCCCACTCAGACACAGTATACTGACTCCGAGCCGACCAGTCCTTGTTTTAGCCCCTGAATGCCGAGCGCCAGACAGGGTAACAACAAGTACCATCTTTTGGTATAACGCGGCCTGGGATCGAACCCCGGACCTTCCGCTCTCCGGGCGGACGCTCTACCACTAGACCACGGAGGCGGCCACTGGTGGTCGAGACTTTCATGGAGTGGCAAACATCTCGGGAATTAGGGATTCCACACATTTTAAACTGACACGCCGTGATGCATATTCTTTACCTGCCGAATGATGCACACACTGTCTAGAGACCATAATAATACTCACCGCCAAAAGAAGCGAAAACCATAGAAACATATAGGGAAGTATGTAAGTGATGTTTCCAATGCGCACGTGTATGTGTGTGTGTGGCTGCTTGTTCTAGTCCGGACTGATGCCGATTTATAGTGCTAGCTCACTGAGATACCATGCCGCAGTTTAACATGAATACCCCACTCAGACACAGTATACTGACTCCGAGCCGACCAGTCCTTGTTTTAGCCCCTTAATGCCGAGCGCCAGACAGGGTAACAACAAGTACAATCTTTTAACGTCTTTTTGTATGACGCGGCCCGGGATCGAACCCTGGACCTTCCGCTCTCCGGGCGGACGCTCTACCACAAGACCACGGAGGCGGTCCACTTGGGTTGGACTGTCCATTGCAGGGTTAATCACAGCCAAACTGACTAGTCAATGCCAAGCGACGAGTAATGAAAACTGGGTTTATTTTACCCAAATGGATTATAGCTGGACTTCGAGGGATTCCGGGAAAGATGATGTCACATGCAACTGTTTTCTTGTTTCGCGGGGATGGTTGAAACATTCCCTCGTCACGCCGAAGACCCGGTTCGATTCCCGACATGGGTACAAAGTTTGAAGCCCATTTCTGGTGTCCCCCACTGGGATGTTGCTAAAGGCGGCGTAAAAACATACTCACTGAATCACTCTTGTCCCGCGAGACGTGGGCGGTCATACCTTGGGTGGATCGGTGCTCATAACATCAATCACTGGTTTGTCTGAACAGACTCAATCCATTATTTATAGACGTTATATGGGTGGAATTCTGCAGAGCACAGCGTTAAAGTTTTGAATTATGCAATGAGTTTTATTTAGGAATGATATAACAATTACTGCTTATATTCTGTCTAGGAATTATATAACTGCTTATATTCTGTCTAGGAATTATATAACTGCTTATATTTTGTCTGGGAATTGTATAACTGCTTATATTCTGTCTAGGAATTATATAACTGCTTATATTCTGTCTAGGAATTATATAACTGCTTATATTTTGTCTAGGAATTGTATAACTGCTTATATTCTGTCTAGGAATTATATAACTGCTTATATTCTGTCTACTCTGCGCTCACGCAAAAGGCCCGGGCTGGTTCCCACGTAGGTACAATGTTTGAAGCCCATTTCTGGTGTCCCCCGCCGTCATATTGCTGGAATATTGCAAAATGCGGAGTATAACCATACTCCTTCACTCACTCACTACTCTGCACATATGTTGAACATCCTGGTCTGTTGATTTGTACAACGGGTTTTGGGAATCAATGACCTGCTTATAGCCTCTAATGTGTTTACGCAAAAGGAGTCATCATCATATACCGTTATATTATGTGTACATCAATATCAATTGGTGCTTTTTCTATTCGGTATATATGGGGGCACGGGTGGCCCAGTCGTCTAAGGCGCCGCGATTCGCTGTGCAGAGTTGCGTCCCTTGGGCATACCAGAAACCAATGAATCCCGGATCGCTCCGATTATGTTTCTAGGTTTGTCAGCACCATACCCGTGCTCACGCACTATTCGGTATATTACGTATTCTATACTATAATGTTCCTTAAATCAGTCAGATTTCCGAAACAATATGGTATAGCGATGTATTTAAGTCGTAATTCGATAGCGGAATGGGGCAGACTCATGCCATTATTATAGAAGTAATCGTAGCTTTTGATTGTTTGTTGTTTAAAGCCGCACACAGCAATAGTCCAGCTATAGATGTAGATGCTGTGGCAGATGTAGTGATAGTAACAGAGGTTGTAATATCCATCTACTGCCTTCACATTCACGATACGTGCATGCCCAAGATTCATTGAGATCATCGCATTGTGAATACATACGTAGACTACATATATTTGTGAATATAAAACGTAGACTACATACATGTGTGAATACATACGTTGACAACATACATCTATGAATACATACGTTAACTACATACATGTGTGAATACATACGTTGACTACATACATCTGTGAATACATACGTTGACTACATACATGTGTGAATACATACGTTGACTACATACATGTGTGAATACATACGTTGACTACATACATGTGTGAATACATACGTTGACTACATACATCTGTGAATACATACGTTGACTACATACATGTGTGAATACATACGTTGACTACATACATGTGTGAATACATACGTTGACTACATACATGTGTGAATACATACGTTGACTACATACATGTGTGAATACATACGTTAACTACATACATCTATGAATACATACGTTAACTACATACATGTTTGAATACATACGTTGACTACATACATGTTTGAATACATACGTTGACTACATACATCTATGAATACATACGTTAACTACATACATGTGTGAATACATACGTAGACTACATACATGTTTGAATACATACGTTGACTACATACATCTGTGAATACATACGTTGACTACATACATGTGTGAATACATACGTTGACTTCATACATCTGTGAATATGTACGTTGACTACATACATTTGTGAATACATACGTTGACTACATACATGTGTGAATACATACGTTGACTACATACATCTATGAATACATACGTTAACTACATACATGTGTGAATACATACGTTGACTACATACATGTGTGAATACAAACGTTTACTACATATATGTGTGAATACATACGTTGAATACACATATGTGTGAATACATACGTTGACTACATACATGTGAGAATACATACGTTAACTACATATATGTGTGAATACATACGTTTACTACACATATGTGAGAATATGTACGATGACTACACATATTTGTGAATACATACATTGTGTATGAATACATATATATATATATATATATATATATATATACACATATGTGTGAATACATACGTTTACTACACATATGTGTGAATATGTACGATGACTACACATATGTGTGAATACATACGTTTACTACATATATGTGTGAATACATACGTTGACTACACATGTGTGTGAATACATACGTTGACTACATACATGTGCGAATACATACGTTAACTACATATATGTGTGAATACATACGTTTACTACACATATGTGTGAATATGTACGATGACTACACATATTTGTGAATACATACATTGTGTATATGTATATATATGTGTGTGAATACATTTATATATATATACACATATGTGTGAATATGTACGTCGACTACACGTATGTGTGAATACATACGTTTACTACACATATGTGTGAATATGTACGATGACTACACATATGTGTGAATACATACGTTGACTACACATATGTGTGAATACATACGTTGACTGCACATATGTCTGAATACATACGTTGACTACACATATGTGTGAATACATACGTTGACTACACATATGTGTGAATATGTACGATGACTACACATATTTGTGAATACATACATTGTGTATATGTATATATATGTGTGTGAATACATTTATATATATATACACATATGTGTGAATATGTACGTCGACTACACGTATGTGTGAATACATACGTTTACTACACATATGTGTGAATATGTACGATGACTACACATATGTGTGAATACATACGTTGACTGCACATATGTGTGAATACATACGTTGACTGCACATATGTGTGAATACATACGTTGACTACACATATGTGTGAATACATACGTTGACTACACATATGTGTGAATACATACGTTGACTACACATATGTGTGAATACATACGTTGACTACACATATGTGTGAATACATACGTTGACTACACATATGTGTGAATACATACGTTGACTGCACATATGTCTGAATACATACGTTGACTACACATATGTGTGAATACATACGTTGACTACACATATGTGTGAATACATACGTTGACTACACATATGTGTGAATATGTACGATGACTACACATATTTGTGAATACATACATTGTGTATATGTATATATATGTGTGTGAATACATTTATA